TTAATGTTTTTTCAATTCATTTTAAATATAAATCAGAGGTAGCTTTGGCACATTCTATAGCTTAAGTATTTAGAATAATCTCAGAGAGGAGACATAATAAGGACCAAACCACTATCCTAGTACAATGCAAGCCAAGGGTCCCATTGCTCTTCATGTTGAATGAAAATGAGGAGACCCAATTGATTTCCAAAAAATTGGTTCTTTAGGCCTTTGTTTCTAAAGAACTTCCCCCAAACTGACTAGCAGAGACTCTTCACCAGATAATAAGCATGTCGGGTTATATTACAGAATACAATAGTCAATCATTCTGTCCCTGAAATTCCTGTGTGTCATTGACAGGGTTGCTTTAAATTGCATTTTTCTTTTCCTGCTTGGAGTTAAGTGGCAAGAGCCTAGTCTAATGGTTTTTCCCTAATCTCCTCATTTGTATTTCTATCCGGTTGTTTCTCTGGACTTTTGGACATAATTAGATAGACCACAATGGTGCTTCTTGCTGCTCCATCTCTTAAAAATTCTCCCCCTGTTCCCCTACTCAGCGAATGGGGAGGACCCAGTGTTGCTTGACCCTGATGCACTTGAACCTGCCCCCTTGCTTCTCTTTGACCTCATCATGTGTCCTTGACCTGGTAACTGGCCACTCAGAGGTTTTGATGAACTGTTAGTGGAGATGGACAGCAAACTGGCAAGTGGCTCTAATTATGTTAATCTTCACGAAGAAAGTGTTTGAAATCTCTCATTTTCAGAGTTTCAGAAAAACAGCCAATTTCTTCCTGCTCAAAAGGTACTGAGACCGCTCCTGATTAGGCTGTCTGAATGCCCTTGTTTTTCCTCATCACAGTCACATCTGTTTGGGTTTCTGTCTCTCTCTTGGAGATGCCTCTTGAGAGCAGGTCCCCTCAGCTTCTTGCAGCTCATCTGAGACCTGCCACAAGAGATCAGCAGAGAAAGATCAGCATTCTATGCTCTGATAACTCCTATAACTCTCTGAAAAGAATGCTAAAACCTGGTTCTCAAGTGAACCCATGAGGAATGGAGCCAAAGGGGGGACTTTTGTACTTTTATTTGGAATCCAATTTAGATTTTATATTCTGGTGAGGTGGGAAAAGAATAGAGACATGAGAAGTATGAGGAGAGGCAGACAATGAGGTAGGAGGAACAGGGTTTCATACAAAATAATCAGAGACTTCCAGAGCCAAAAGGACTGTAAGGAACAACTCAGTTAGATGTTTTCAAACATTTTGCTTTTAAGTAGTAGTACAATCTTTTTATTCTTATTAGAAATCATACAATGAGCCGCAGTGTATAGATGTAAGCAAAAGTACTATAGTTGAAACATTTGTGAGGTAACGTATGTCCATTACTTTTGGGGTGCTGCAGAATACAATTTGAAAGCCTCCAATATTGCCTAAGTATTACTTTAAAAGTAGGAAAGCAGACCCCAGCAAAAGGAACAACATACCCAAGGTGACAGAGTCACTTAGTGGCAGAGATAGAATTAAAACATATGCCTCCTGCCAGCTGGATTAGATCTCTTTGAGCATGTGTGGAACTGGATAAAGGAACTAAGAATGTACTCTTTCCAGAATATGGTCAAGGAGAGATGGTGGTGGGCAGTGTGATGGAGGAGAAGTCGTCTTAAGAGGAGCAAAGGAGAGTGGGCCACTGAGCCTAGAGGAGCTGGAACCACAGAGGTTAAGCAGAGCTTTGAAATGTGATGAATCTGGAGGAGATCAAAAACTTCCATAGCGGAATTGCGAGGAATAAAACAAGACAGGAGGGAAAGGGTTTAGGAAATAGGTGTCAAAAGAGAGTTCTGTATTCTTCCTCCCATTAAAACTCCATTCTAGTCTAATGCCATTCTGAGATGACAATGGGGTAGAAAGAAAAGGCAAAATATGCTTCACCAGGATGGGCTGCCATTCTGCCTTTCATTATGCCTTTGTGAAACACATAGGAATTTGGCACAGTTCCCCTTCAGGGATTTGAAAGTGATATTCACACTCTTCTTCGGAGTTGCTAAGCACCTGGGAAATAGACATGAGAGTTAGGAAAGCGTGAAAATGTGTATTGTATTAATGGTTAAGCTAATTGGATAATGTGATTTGGATAGATTCATGTTCAGAATGGTCTGTCTTCACATTCTGCCCTGGATTGAATTTACCCTGTAGTCACAGCCTCTGTGAAATTCTTTTAGTGGAAGAGAAAGGGCAATGCATGTGGTTTATAGGCAATCACAGAAAGTTAGATGCCCCCTTCTCTAGTTTTATCAACAACATGTCATGTATTTTCCTGTCCATGGAGATGGAAGAACAAGAGGGGAATATTAAAATGCAGAAGTACTGTTTGAGGGCTGACAAGGGACATATCTCGTAACCCCTATATTCTTCCTACTTTCGGGATAATAAAAGTTCATTGGGGAGAAGCTGATCAATGGCTATGATGTTGCAGTTAGATAGGAGCAAGAAGCTCTGATGTGCTATCGCACTGTAGGGTCACTACAGATAATGATAACATATGGTACATTTCAAAAAGCTAAGGATTTCACATTTTCACAATAAAGAAATGCTAAATGTTTGAGGAGATATATTTAACCTGTCTTAAACATCACATGATGTACACATGTACTGAAACATCACATGGTACCCCATTAATATGTATTATTTTATGCTTTTTATGTATGAGTTAAAAATAGATTCAATAAAACATAATTGGGGAGAGAAGGTTTAGAGCAAGAAAGGCATCTACAAGCACATGTGGAACCATCGAGTTGCCAGCTTGGCCCACTGGTTGGTTACGTGAGCTTTATGTTACAGATTTTATTTCCCTATCAAGAAAATGTTGTGGGCCAGGGATTTAACTCAGTGGTGCCATGCCTGCATGGCAAGTGCAAGGTCTCGATCCCTCGTACCGGAAAAAAAAATCGTGATGGTAGATCGGGGTTGGGACTTGAGATGACATATTTACATACTTCTGTTTGCAACTTTGTAATGGTTAAGTGTCCCTGTCCTGAGTATTCCCAAAATACTCTCTGGGGCTGTTTACCTATAATGTCCAGCTTCAAGTGGCCATACCAGTAATTCTCTATGATATTTGAAAATACCATATGGATGGTGTTTGAATGAGCATTTGGTGAGAGCTCTCCCAGAAGAGAGGCAGAGCAGAGGCAAAAGGAATGTGAAAAAGCCCTCTTCCTTTTCTGAATACCATCCCCTCATTGTTTCCAAAGGCTTTCCCTTTCCTTCATGGGAGCTTCATCCTCTGGCTTTTGGGGCTTCAGGGTCCTGAGAGAGAAGCAAGAGTAGGAAAACCAGGGTCCCTGGGGTAGGTGCTCAGCAGATGGTAAAAATAGGCAGAGTGAGCAAGGATCTCTTAACTCTCCATCCCACACCCCAAATATCCCACCCAGGTCAAAGCTTCTGATCCCTCTTTTGGTCGGAGTACTCTCCTTCATGGTTCCTGGAAGTTAATCAATGATTGCTCACATTCCAAGCTAGGAAACATCTCCTTCCCTTCAGAATCAATATAAATCAGCCAATCGTCAGTTATCTTGAACAAATTTTTACTGAGCATAAACTATATGACAAGATCTGTGCCAGGAGATGGGAACATAGTGGTGAACAAGACACAGACCCAACTGCCAAAGGAGTCTAGTTCCAATGGGACCAGACCAGGGAATTTAAAGTCGGATGCATTCCTTTTGGTGGTGGTGTTGGTAGGGGGGGCACAAAAGAGTAGCCCGGGAAACTTCTCAGCCCCCTGCAGCTTTCACCCCAGCCTCCCTCCTAGACACACAATAGTAGGACTGGGGAGGAGTGGTGGGAAGGTAGCAGCAGCATCAACCTTGAAGCAAGAAAATCTACAGAAGGCTCAGGTGATTCAGTTCTGATGGGCTAAGAAGCCTGATAGTTTCCCTGTTGATAGAGTTTCCATGTTTCTGAATCCGAGCTTGTTGGAAGGTCAGGCAAGGAAAGAGAGCTGCAGTCTAGGGGATAAGTTGTGCATTTAGTTTCATATCTACACCACTTCTGAAAAGGTCTGCAGAGGAGGATGAGTCCAGTAAGGAAAGTGTAGGCAGGAGTGTAGTGGCAGCTCCAAGATAGAGCAGCCCTACTATTTGCAGATCCCTGTTTGCCTCAGAAATCAAGTAATCCAGGGCTTGCCTAGCGTGTGCTGGCCCTGGGTTCAATCCTGGGGTGGGAGCATCCCAACAATGGTGTGTTTGAAGGTAGGACGTCCATGTGGATGGTTCATTCCCTCTTTACTGCATGCTTGGCCTCAAAAGCCATTATTCTCCCCGGAGGCTGCCCGAGTTTCAGGAGCAGAAAGAAAGGAAAAGAAAAGAAATTGGGACAGTTAGAGACTGGCCCCAGGTTAGTTAGATTGCACCATGGCATTGCAAACACTGCCTGTGGCACATTACCCGGCTTTTTGAACCCCAAACTCGAACGGATGGACTAAGGGGCACAGAAGAAAAAGAGGGTTTTGGCCGCGCAAATTGGCACGGAATGAAAAGTCGGCAGAAACCGCTGGGTGGCAGCGTGGTGTGCGGGCACCGCTCTGCAGGGCCTTCTGCTGCCGCCGTCTGGGGGTTGAACCCTTCTGGGAGTCCTGGCCTCCTCTCCTGAATGGCTACAAGTGTCGACGTGCAAAATACCTCGGCGCGGGTGCGGGTGGGTGTTGGAAGGCCTGAGCCCGGGGGGCTCCTGCCTGGGCTCCCCCTGGCCCGCTAAGAGTCAAGCGCTAAGGGAACACCCCTTCCCACTCAGCCCCCCTCCCAGTGCTGGCGCCGCCTAGCAAAGCCCGCTCCTTCAATCCAACTACCTCATGCCGGTGCCTCCTCCATCACCGCTTCCTCCCGAAGCTCCTTTTGGGCAAAGGAGAGGAGAAGGCTTTGGGCGATGGGGCAATGCCTAAACCCCTACAGGTGCTAGCTGGGGGGCGGTGGGGACTGGTGGGTGGGGCTGCGGAGGGCGGCCCCTGGGGAGCCAGCACGCCCGGCCCCTAGAGGGAGGGACCACCGAGGGAGGGGACCGCGGGGAGGCTGTCTCGCTCTTCCGGAGGGTGCCTGCAGCCACCGGATTCCTGTGCTGTCACTGTGCCGCGCCCAGAGCAGCAGCAAGAGCGACAATGAGAGGCTATTACCTGTTTGATCCCTGCCGGAAGGCCGGCACGGGCCAACTTTTCCTGATCCTAGAGCCTAGAAGTTGCAAGGACTAGTGGAAGACTCGGAGGGGCCAGGGCGAGGGCGCTCTCCTCTGCGCGCTTCCTCCTCCCTCCTCCCTCCTGCCGCCTGCGCTCCCGGCCTCTCCCGCCCGCGCGCTCTCCCTCCGCCCGCCTCCTGCTCTGGCCCCCTCCACAAGGCACAGAGTGGGGGGTGCGGCGGCGAAACTCCGACCCAAGCCACTTGGACTTGCACAGTGTCCTCGGGGCTCAGGGGCCGAGAGCACGCAGTCGCTCAGCTCTGCCTCCGCCTGCCCGTCTCGCCTGCGATCCGGCCCGCCCGAGGCTGTGGCTTTGACTCGGACCCTGCCAGCCAGCAGCCCGCGCAGGAGCCGGACCACCAGCAGAGGAGCGCAGAAGGCATGCGAAGCCCCCTCCTCTGCTGAAGCCCGAGTGCGAGGACGCCCGGGCTAACGCAGGCTAAAGAGACCAAGGCGGCCAAGGCTCGAGAGAGCGGGAGAGCAGCGGAGAAGAAGGAGGGAGAGGAGGAGGAGGAGAACCCAGAGAGGGGCAGCAGAAGAAGTGGTGGTGGTGGGCGTCGTGGCCATGGCTGCGGCAATCGCCAGCTCTCTGATCCGTCAGAAGAGACAAGCCCGCGAGCGCGAGAAATCCAACGCCTGCAAGTGTGTCAGCAGCCCCAGCAAAGGCAAGACCAGCTGCGACAAAAACAAGTTAAATGTCTTTTCCCGCGTCAAACTCTTCGGTTCCAAGAAGAGGCGCAGAAGAAGACCAGGTCTGAAGGGGCTTTAGCTTTTTTTTCTATTTTTTTCCCGTACTTTACGAGTGTGGAAGGGGCTGGGGGCGGGTATGTAAGCGTAGGTAAGTTTGTCTGTAGCCCATCTTGTTCGGATGAGGCCGCCTAGGCGGTTTGCGTGCGTGGGAAGGCGACTGCTGTCTTACCTCCTTGGTGACAGTAAGGGGCTTGCTGCATTGCAACTGCCCTGGGACAGGCGCAGAGCCTGGGGGCATGTCCTGCCCAGGAGGCGCGCCCACAGCTTCAGATATGTCCCTGTGTGCGTGCCTGTGTGCGTGCGTGCGTGTGCGTGTGTGCATGCCTGGTGGGCTCTGGGAAGGCGTGACCGAGACATGATCATTTGTGTAGCGTGTGGCCTGGAAATTGCAAAAGCAAGCTGGGCAGACACCACTCCCCCCTTCCCAGGGAAACTCGGGGAATCCCTCTCTATCCTTTCTAGCTGCCCGTCAGACCCTTCCTCTGCGGCTTTCACCCCGAGGGATGTGGGCTTCCGCTGTCTACGCATCCCCTTTCTTCCAGTAGCGCACTTTTAAGCTTTTTGGGACAGACTTGAGTTGTGCTGCAGCTTTGAAATGTTTGCTGGGGAGGGGGGTGGATTTCTAGAACCTTGCGGCAAAATAGCTCAGTGAGCTGGTTAGATTAGTAGAACTGTGGTTACTTGGTATGAAAATGCAAGATTGAAGAGGGAACTTAAACTCAAAGCTAGATTGTGGGTTCTTTTGAACCATTTCAGTGACAAGAGCAGCAGGATATCTGCTGATGGGAAATTCAGACAGCTTATAGGTGTCAGGTTGCGTCAAGGTAGACTTTCAGGGGAAACATGCAGCGTATTTACCATTCGTATCCAAATGAATCTTTTGCACTATTTTCTTACTTTTTACCAGATAAATCTGACAACAGATCAGTTTTCCTCATCAACCTATCATTTCTGTACTTATGTGTTCTATACACCCTGGAATGGAAACGCAGGCAAAGGTCTACTGTTTGTACAAAGTTTGTAATACATTAGCTGTGAATTAGGCTTGTTTTTAAAAGGCTTCGGCAGTTGCAAAGCATGATTATGTGGCTAGAATAATCACATAAGTATTATTTCAACGCAGGTGCCTGTATTCAATAAAAGCAAAATTTTGGACAGCATGGCTGTTATGGGTAAATTAGATGTGTGATTAATCTATGGTGATTCATAATTGAAAATCATTTTAATTAACCCATGTTTTGGGTAATCATTTCTGATATTAAATTTGAAAATAAGTATGAACTAATTTTCCTTCCTCCCCATCAACAAAAACCCTGCTCTTTTCAAAACCATTTTCCCTAAGAATAATTAATATGATAGGAGATGGTGATGGTTGTTATATCTCCCTCCCAGCCTTTTTCATATAGGAGCCTCAGTTTTCTAAGTACAGATTCTTTGATGAGATTTGAGGTTATTTTCAGCATTCTTAGAAAGGGGGATTATTCATTCAAATTGTGGTAATTGTAAAGGAAATCTTTGCTAGTGGGTTTTGACCCCTGAATGGCAACCACCTCTGAATTTTCTTTGTATTTTTCCTTTTTCTATCACATAAAAAGTGGCACATTGTTAAAAAGGCGGACTATGTCATTTGCCAACCCGTTGGGAATGTTCAATGAGATAGAGTCCCACTCTTTAAGCTAAAGGACAAGCTCTCAGAATCTGGCTGCAGTCAGAGGCTTTTGGGCTTTTACCAGTGTTACAAGGTGGAAATGAAATGTTTCTTCCCTTGTTCAGAGATTTCTTCTGAAACTTGGAGTTTGTGTATCTGTTGTCGTTCTCCCACAGGACTCTTTAAAAGTGTACTTTGACTTTTTCCACTAAAATTTGCAAATGAAATTCGAATTCCAAATTCTGGGTTTCTTCAACTTCTTATGCACAGTATGTCAATTGATCCAAACCATCATTCTCTTTGCAGAGCCTCAGCTTAAGGGTATAGTTACCAAACTATACAACCGGCAGGGCTACCACTTGCAGCTGCAGGCGGATGGAACCATTGATGGCACCAAAGATGAGGACAGCACCTATAGTAAGTGACTGCTAAATAAATAGTGTATACCAACATGTGGTTGACTTTGTGTTGTTTTTATTTATTTTTAAGTAAACAACTTTCAATAAATCCGTACCGCGAAGTATGATCACAGCACATAATACTGTGTACACAGGTTCACCAACAGGAAATTGAACATGAAATATCTAAAATAGTGAACTAGAGCAAATAATGGTGACACCATCTGAAGAATGATACAAATGTCATCTCCATGGTAATCTAGATAGATTTATGGCCATCCTTTGGATTTTATTACTTTTTTTCCCCACAGAAAATTTACTCACCCGCACACTGATCCCAAAATAGCATGTTATCTCTACTCTTAAGAACCAGTCTCATCTCAAGAGACAGGAGTGGTTTTCTACCAGAATTCATCATTATAAGCTTTTGCTCCTGCTCCCCCTATATACGCATACTGATACGTCTGAGTCTAATTTGAACTTTAATGTTGACATAGGTTCACTGGTGGGTAAAAGGATTTCCTTTAGTGCTTTATTTTTAACTGTGTTTTAAGTAAAGTCCAAATCAAAGACCGTACTGATGAACCTTAAAAGAAACAAGTTGAAAGTTATACCAGTTTTCTTTCTAATTGTTGAAGAAAGGTAATTCCAAGGTGTTGTATAACCTTTGATTATGTATTCTTTATTTGGAATGATAAAAACATAAACTGAAATAGTACAGCCTTCCCTTCAATGATAACGGTTTTTTTGTTTTTTTTGCAACTGACAGATTTTTGCAGACCTATTAAATGTTCCATAGGCTATACATTTTTTTAATCTCACAATTCATTCTCTGATTGCTCCAGTTTCTATTGAAATTCCCTCAGACTTTGATAATTCCCAGACATATTCCCATTCCCATCACCATTTGGAACTGAGAAAACAACCAAGGAAAATAGATCTAACTGCTAAGGAGTACGCTACAGCCTTTTTAGCCTTGCATGGCTGTAGATAGTTAAAAGCCATAGACAGGGGTCCCAGTGTTAAGGATAAAAGAGTTTCATACCTTTAAGGGAAGCTCCCTAGGCTGATGGCCAAGCTATGACCTCAAGAAGAGGTCATCTTTAACTTCCTTTGAAAAAAGTCTTTTTGGTTCCTAAGATAAAGAATCTCCACATTAAATGGACCTTCCCTGTTTTGTAAAATGTGAGTTTACTGTTGTGATATGAAAGTTTTAAGATGAATCTTAGTTGTTCTTTTATGTGTCCTTCTCTATTTAACTAAGCCAAGTGTACTATAATCAAATGGTTGGCATTAGTACCTGATGATCGGTAGTAAAACACTTTCAAAATTATATGTACAAATTGGTGTTTGGAGAAAGAACAAAGGAATTTAAGCTGCTCTTAACTTTCCAAAGTGCCGAGGATAATGAGGTGTGTGGGCATTTTTAAAGGGAAGTTCATAACCAATGAGCCCCACCCAATCCATCTCCTCCACCCCATCAATTTGTAATGTTTTCTCCCAGGTCCAAATCAGAGAAAACACATTTTGGATCCAGTGTTCACATGTGTTTCTTCAAAAGTAAAAAATTTAAAAAAGTATATGAACCACTGTAGTGTGTTTTATTAACAGCTATATGCCAAACTTACCACGATTGTACTATATAAAATCACTTTAGGAGGAGATACATCTTTCTCTCTCTCTCTCTTTTTTTTTTTTTTTGGTACCAGGGATCGAACTCAGGTCCTGGCACTTGTGAGGCTGGCTGCGGAGCCACTGAGCTAAATCCCTGGTCCACATCTTTCTTTCTTTTACATTTTACACACACACACACACACACACACACACACACACACATCAAGGCTGTATTTCTTACTGTGGATCTTTAAATCATGTAGTAGGTTTTACTCTTCCATTCCTGCATATGCATACCTTCTGCCTTTGTTTGCCTTATGACTGATATGCATGGCGTTTCTATGTAGTAATGATATTTGAAGACCTTTAAAGAGCATAGCCTGATAACCAGAATCTGTGTTTAGGCAGATGAAAACAAAGAGGTAATTCAACCAAAGGTAAGTATTACCATAAGATGATGCATACAAATGCAAAGAATTTCAAAAGGAACAACAAGTCAGTGGGGCTTGACTCTAGCCTTGCTGTCAAGAGTGAGGAGAAGCTAAGGGGCTAGCTCACCCTTCCCATTGAGGATGTCATAGGACATAAACAATCATGAGAGAGAAATGTTTAATGATTAAATGGACCCATCACAATGGAAGTCTAGCCATCCAAATTTGTTCTCTTTTCCTCTAAATTCAAGTAATTTTCTTGGCATTAAGTTTTTTTTTATTAGAACATGTTTGTAATACATAATGATTACAATTATTGTGGGAGTTGGTACATGCATGTAGTACATCTTAATTATATTTTTTTCTCTCTTTTTTTTTTTAATCCCTTAACCATTCTCTCCCTCCCTGTTCCCTTCCCGTGAATGGAACAAGAATGCAAGTTTCTTTTTTCCAACTGTTACTCATTTGTATATTTTCTTAATATGTGTTGCTGGTGTTATACTTTTCTTAATTTGTATTTTTATCATGATTTTCTCATTTAATTCAGTTGATCTCACATTTTAATTCCAAGATAATGATAAAACAAATCATTTCACATTTACCCGGACATTTCTAAAAATATGTTTAATATTAAGCATTTAAGCCTAATTTATGTAGACTATTAGAATGGTAAATGTCAGTTCAATGAAATTTCCTTATGAGCAAATCAACCATTGTAAATTCCATAGTCTCCACCTGAAAAGCCAAAGATGATAGACATTTTATGGCTATGGTTTTATTATAATTGCCTTGGGTGCAATTAAAGCACCAAAATAATATCTTAAATCCATGAAGAAGATTTCAGTAAGTCAAGGCATTTAGGAAGATGGTGATTCTGTCCCAGCTTCTGACATAATTCTTTTGCATTTATTTGGAAAGACTGTACCTCTAAACAGATTTGAAGCCAACCCAGTTTATGAGCTATCTTGAATGTCAAAAGAAAAGTGCACTGGTATGAACAGCTACTCTACATTTTCTATCCAGTTTTTTGTTTTGGGTTGGCGTTATTTTTGTTGTTGTTTTCTTGCCATTGTTGTTTTAATTTTGGAATCAGCCTTCATAGAAATGTATATTACATAGTGAACAACACATGTTGTATTATATAGTTAATACCATTATTCAGGAATAGATAATCCTAGGCATGGATTAATGATGTTCTTCTCTTCTTCCTACCATTGTCTTATATTTGAAATGTAAGCATTTTAATGCTCATTAATACCCTAATCAGAGTGGTTGGCAAACAAGACAAAAATGAATCCAATCTCACCCCCCATCTGCTATTACAAGTTACAGTAAGAGAACTAAGAGGGTTCAGAATGTTACAAAATTGAGGTTCCAGAAATAATTCTGAATTTCATTGATTGCTTCCCATCATCTACTACTATGATCATAATAGGTTTCACACATATCCTTGCATTATAGTTGTCAGGAGGTATATAGTGATGTGGCATTTCAACCAGATTCATACAGATGGTTTATTTTGGTGTTTTTAGACCTCAAGAAATTTTAATTATGAGCTTTTATAATATGAGGTTAGGATCTATAATTTCCCAAAAATATATTGTCATATTTTTTCTGTACAGTTTGCTATCAGCCTACAAATATCTGTTGAGCACCTTTTGTGAGCAGAGGATCATCAACAGAAAGAGATATGTCATATACATGACATGCTCAAAGATACCAGGCTCCTTGCCTGTGCATTGCATTGTCAAATATAGCATGAGATCCGGGCTTGCAATCTGTGCAATTACTTTCCTTTACCTCACATAACAGAAGGGCACAGCTTTAATATGATGAGTATTGAATGAAGTGCTATCAGTGGCATGTGGTAAGAACACTTGTATTTTGAACTGTACAATATGTTCCTAGCTCCTCTTTGGTAACACCCTGATTTTAAGGGAAAGATACATTGCAGGCGTATCAAGAATTACTTAGTTCCTCATTAATATTTTTCATCCATATTACTGCATCTACCACAGCACAATATATATAGAGAGAGATAAGTGATCCCACAAATAAAAACATTATTCTTACTCATGGAGTGTCTCCTTTACAATTTGCAGAAATACCAGACTGATATATGAGCCTCAAAAAACTTACAAAACAAGGAAAAAATTGTCAACATTGGTTGATGGCTCTTGAGAGCAAGGTGCCCAGGCTATTTTCAAAAAATGTGTATGGCAGGCACTATGATTTAAAAATGTACTGTTTTATTTTTAGTCACTGTGTGGGAGGGAGCAGACAGCTGGTAGTGGGAGGGCACCCACTGCTTGTCTCCAGGGAGTGGTGTGTGGTTGTGAGCAGAGCTTGGGTGTAAGTTTCACGCAGTCAGACCTTCGAGTGGAAAAATGAAGGCCTGACTGAAACAAGTCGGTTGCCTACTTGCAACCAGTTTTCAGGGAAAATAGATTAAAACACCTCTTTCACTTATTACTTCTCATTCATATAACCTTTGCTCTTGGAGACTAAAAATTAGAAAAAACTTTGGGAACATAGGGCTATAAAATGTGACTGTTTTGTAAGGCCTGGATTCATTTTTGAGGTTTTTGCATTGGAAATGATGTCAGTAAATCAGATAAGGCCATTAAACTATTGTCTCTCCTAAGAATCTCTCCCCTACTGATCTTAACTGTGCTGGTGAAAATTTCAGCAGCTATTTAAGGGAACAGTTTTTAAAACTTCAGTTTGTAGAAGATGACGTTGGTTAGTGTACAAACCAATTCCTGCAACTTGACCTCCCAAGAAGAATGAATGCTTCCCACCTCTGACCCTATAAAAACAATAGAATTGGGACCCAAAGTCTTCCATTGTCCCCAGTGTTGGAGAGTATGTAGTCACAGCCTTGGTAAAGTGACTGCACCCATGAATCAAGTAGAATGAGGCTTTATCTGTATGCATCTAAATATATACTTGTTTGTTCTTATCAAGTGCATACTACTTTGGAGAACCAAGTAGTCCTGCTGAAAACATTAAAAGAGACCATTAAATTCAGAACTGTAACGTTGTTTTCACGTTCTTTTAACTTTCAGCTCTGTTTAACCTCATCCCTGTGGGTCTTCGAGTGGTGGCTATTCAAGGAGTTCAAACCAAGCTGTATTTGGCAATGAACAGTGAGGGATATTTGTACACCTCGGTAAGTCTTTGTGTGCATGTTTTGATTGTTCTGGTTTTCATCTGATACGAAAGCAAATGTTCTATATATGTGTTATCAGTGCAGATTTCTGTGATGAGAGGAAGATTGTTTTTAATAGAAATCTGTCAGAGGGAAGGGAAAATTCACTTCTTGTGAAAACTGTGTCTGTTACCAGTTAGTGTCATTTGAAGCTAGCATGTTTAGTACAAAAATTAAAAATTCACTGGAAAGTCTTGCATACAGTGTTATTTGGGTTTTTATATAGCATGAAGTGGTCTGTCTTGCTATCCTGCCTTGCACTTGTGGGAAACAAAACCATTTCTTGACTCAGACATGTGTTCGTCCATGTTTACTTTTCAAGAAATCAGTGAGATTTCTCCCTCTGATCCCCTCCAGGACACAAAGACCAGTGTTAGAAGTACTTCTACACTTTCATTTATCTGTTCAGTTAGCACAATTGTCGTCTGCTTTATGTACTTTAAATTTTATTATTTTGGCTGTACAAATTTGTACAATACAGTATGCTATTTCAATACATATATACAATATGTGCTGATTAAATTTGAGGAATTAACATTTCTCTTTGTCAGCATTTTGTGCTGGAAGACTTCAAGCTCCTGGCTTCTAGGTTTTTGTAAAATAAATACAGTTTTTCTGTCAATTATGGTTCAACTTCTTACAGATTTCTGCTTGCATTTTTCTTACAAGTTTGCAATGAAGAGAGAAAATTGAAACTTCTTTCAGGTGAATTTATAAATAATGTAGACTATAAGTCAGTAAAGAATGTGGGCCCAAAGTAAACTTTTAAAAATGTGTTTGGCACTTAAATATAAACAAATATGATGTAGTACCAGAGTCAGGATTCCATTCTTATTACATCTACTTTTGGATTACAGGAGACCACTTAATATATGAATACCTTTTAGACTTTAGTATGAATTCTTGTATTTGAGGAGGATAAAATATTTCAAATGGAGAAAATTGCTTGTCAAACTTCATATTAGCCAGCCTTAAAAGTTATTATTATGTCTATAAGAATAAATGCCTCGAACTGCAAGTACAACATTTACCTATAATTGCTCTTGCTTTCTCTTATTCCCCAAATTTACTTCAAAGCCAGATGTATAGACTGCTTCTTAGCAGACATGGTAGAAGCCATGTTCTAATCCTGTTTTCCAGGATCCAATAAGAGAAAGAGGATTGAGAGAGCAGTAAGACCACACCAGGCCCATTCATTTATTAAACCACATAGCCTACTTCATGTTATGATAAAAGATTATGATCAAAATATAATTATTAGCATGCACATCAAACCCTGGAAACTATCAGCATTCCTCTCAGGTCATTTAAATCATCTCATTGCTTAATATATGCAGGGAATTTTTTTTTTTACTAAATGAAAGATTTCCAGACGTCATGAAATCTATCATTATTAATATGGTGCCATTATTATAAATGATAATAAAAGGGATTTGTTTTTCAAAAGTTGCATGCTAGATTAAGGTAACTTAATAATGATTTTAAATAATCTCATTTAGATCAACAGGACCAGATGCAAAGGTAGGTTTTTAATAAAAGAAGTATTTTCTGAAACTAATGTGCACACATGAGAAGGAAAGGAATATAATGGGCATACTCTTGAGAACGAAATGCCAAATGACATACGAAATAATTGCTGGTAAAGCATTCAGAATTTTTCTCGGTTGTGGTCACTATTATGGTGCTGTGATGAATTGCTGAAGGTGATGAAAAATCTTGCAACAATGCATTTTTTAAAAGAAACTCACATTTTTGGAAATACATAATAGTTAAGTCAGAATGGGAAAATTATTTCAATAGGTAATATGTCAGATACCCCCATGCAGAAAAATTAGAGCATTCAGTATTAAATTTAGGGAAGTGATTTTGAAAATGTATAATCTACCATTCAGATTGACCATTATTCTGAAAATTGGTATGTGTCAATGTGGAACCATTGCTAAGAAAGGCTTCCCAGGGGAATCAACCTTATGGATTGGTAGTTTTCCTTTCTGTGATGTGTAGGCCAGTAGACAGCAAAATTTGAAACATTCCATATGTATTTTCCATTTAAGGTAAAGGAACCTTAAGTAAGCATTTCTTATTAAGGAAAACATACTATGTTTTCATTAAAGAGGAAAGATGACTGATTCATGATCTTGATGTTCATATAGAAGGACAGTATCCAAATTACTCTACTCCAGGAAAGAAATCTGAATCTTCTCTAGGGTAAATGTCCCATTTCTTCCCATTATTTCTTATTAATTATGGCTTGGAGTCTCTTCACCCTCTTGATCACCACCATCTTTAGTGGATACTCCATTTTATACTTCATCTTACTACAATGTGGTACCCAAACTCTATTAGGATAGAGTTGTATCCTAATGACTATGTTGCTATGACCAAAAAGCTCAATGAAATATCATGCGTGTTCAACAAGAGAAGGCAACCAAAAATTTGGATCACTCTTCCCTTGTAAAAATGCCCTTTAGCAAAATGTAGTATAAGGTAGAATAGGGCACTGATCTAATGAAAAAGAATAAGTGAAGGAAATAAGGGGCTGCTGGTGTGTAGGCAAGTAAAAATACTCTTCAGAATTTACTGCAAATAATCTTGGTGAGTGACAATTAGTGTCTACCTTAAAGCAGTTGCAGTGGAAATGTCTGCAAGGGTATGGATTGCTCACATATTTTAGAGGTAAAACTATCAGAATATGACAGCTGATTGCATTTGGAAAGAAAGCAGGACTATATATATATGCTTGAACATGTATGCTTGTTATCCGCTGCATGGATAGAAATAAAGTGTCTTCAGGTAGCGACTTTTTAACAGATTTGCACAGTAGTGTTCAGAGAATAATCAGGAGTCATGAGGGAGAGGGGGAATTTGGCCTTTAGCATTTGGGTTGATAGTAAAGCTAGTAACCAAATAGGAATAAAGGAAAAATGCAGATTTGGGGCCAAAGATACCTCAGTACAGCCTGCATTAGGTATATGAAAATATCGACCTTAAGCTTGAGAAAGGACTGTGAGCTACAGATAAAACTTGGGAGTTATCAGTGGTGATTGATACCATGGGAATAGATGAGAAAATATGTAGCATAAGAAGGTGGAAGTACCCAGCAGGGGAAGAACTAATTATAATTATAATTATAATTATAATTATAATTATATAGTGATATAATGATATTGCAATGATATAATGATATCGCAAAAACTAAATGGGGAGAGGGTTTTAGGAGGAGTCAGCAAAGTCAAATGCGTCAGAGTAAATAAGTACAACAGGAACTATGAATTTGCCATATGATCTGTGGTGATTGTGACAAAAACACTTTCAGTGGAGTGGTTGGAACAGAAGCCAGACTGTAGTGGATGGAAGAGTCAAGAGGGAAGAGAGGAAGAAGAGGCAACAGGCATAGAATTCAGAAGGGAAAGGGAAATATATGGGAATATTTAGGAGAGGACACAGGGTTGATGAGGGCTTTGAGGATTCTTTGGTTAAAGATAAGACACTTGGGTATGTTTAAGTGAAAGGAAAGGAGCCAGTAGAGCCTTTATGGAGTACAGCCCCAAAGGGTATGGGAGGGTGACAGATTTAAGAATATAAGTGAAAGAATTAGATTCACCTTAAAAAGAAGGGACACTCCTATAATAGGAGGCAAAGAGATGCAGGTGCCCATGTAGGTATACTGCATCTGCGGCTGATGGACAAGGCAGTTGAAGGATTTGCGGCTGAATGACCTGTATTTTCCCTTTGAAGTACAGTGAGAGATCATCTGTGAATATCAGAGGCATAGAGATGGCAAAAGTGAAGAACAGCAATTTGGGGAAAGGGGAGAAGAAACAGTTTACTAACCACACAAAGAAACTGCAGCCATTGGCCAAATCCAGCCCACCATCTCTTTTTATAAATCAAATTTTATTGGAACAATGATTACACTCATTCATTTACTTTTTGTCTATGGCTGCTTTTGTGCTACAACAGCAAAGTTGAATAATTGTAACAGACCACAAAGCCTAAATTATTTACTAAATAACTTGTTTCTTTATCAGGAAGTGTTTGCTGGTGCCTAGACTCTAATCAGACAGTGCAGTCTCAGCCTTAGCTATCCATCAGAATCACCTGGGGACCTGACCTATAAAATATTCCATCCTTTGTGCCACACCCAGACCAATTATATCAGTATACTTAAGGGTGGGTTCTATTTTCTAATGCTTCTCAGTTGATCTTATGTGGAGCCCATGCTAAAACTACTGATCTGTGGCTAAGAAAAATGATTACCAAATAGCAGTGGGAACCCCCCTCACCATGAAGTCAGAAACTATGAATTTATGTACATTTTCTTTATCCCAAAGTTTGATGAAAGTCTTTTTCTGCTCCTGCATGCAAATTGTCTTTATGAAGGACTGTTCTTGAGATGTTAGAATATGCTGATCCTTGGAAAACTTTATCTCTTTGTCTTTTTTCTGTCTTATTTTGCATTTCTGCTGCTATATCCCTCTATTTCTTTTGAAGTCAGTTATATATATATATATATATATATATGTATATATATATACATACATACACATACTCTGTTTTATGTATATACTTGTTCATATATATATATCCATTTCTCCCCGCTCCTTGGTCCATTAAAGAAACAGCACCTTCACATTGCTTTTGCTTTAGAGATAGCAGTTTACTTTCCATGATGATCTCAGCATTTTTGCAGTGCACCCTCCCCTCCCCCCTTTTTTCTTGTTGCCATGGGGGACAGACTTGATGTAGGCTCAAGTGGCAGTGAGAAACCATCTGTGACACAGAGAATCATAATTAGACATTATTTCATAGCATATTTACTTTTGGCCATGATGAAACTAAGTCTTTCTGGAGCTACAAGGAAATTATTATTCATTGTGCAAAACACAACTTTTTTCTTCTGGTTTTTATTTACCAATTATAAGGAGTTCCCCATAATCCTCTAAGTGTTCCTCAAAACT